CCCGGCTCCGCTTAAAACTAAAATCGACTCAGAATCCGGCTCGAAGGAGGGAAAAGCGAAGTTGGGCACCGGGGAAGGGGGAGAAGTCCCAAGGGGGACTCACCTGCACCCGGTCCACCCCGTGGGGCTCCGGGATTTTCCTCAGATGCTGTTTTACCAGCGGAAAATGCTGGTTTTCGCTTTTCCGCTCACTTTTCCATCAGCCCCCGCAAGGATTTTGGTGCCCTGGTTTTGGCTAAGCCACCCCAGCCAGGCTTTCGGGTTTATCTGCAGGGATTTTAGGAGTCCCGCTCTCCTCTCCCAGAGGTTTCACGCCAGGAGAAATCCCCCCCCCCCCCCATAACAAAGGATCCCATTTACACCGCCGGGACGGAGCCGAGCAAGGGGCAGATCACGAGGCCGAGGAGCGGCAATGGCTTCATTCAACCATCATTCCTTTGAACTAAGCCCCGAACCAGCCCGCGGCCCTTCGGGGGCCGCTCCGGCCCCTTCGGAGAGGTGGAAACGGGGGGTCCCCGGGCTGTGAGCAAGGGCTTGGGGACCTGCCAAGGAAACGCTTGTCCTCAGCCGCCCTGGCACAAAGCCCTGCCCTTGAAATCAGTTAAAAAACACATTTGCAGCTTCAGCCCTTTGCTTCCCTGGCCCCGGCGCATGCAAAAACCTCCCGGGCCGGATCCTGCCCTTTACAAATCCGCCCCAACACCCCTTATTAGGTCCGCGGCGTCTTCCCCTGACGCAAACGGCGGTTAATAAATAGCACCGGCCACCACGAATAAGTCAGTGAATGATTCTCCAGCGGGAGCGGGGAACGGAGGAGCATCCCTGACCACGGCTCAGCGCCTCCGCGCGGCCTCTGGACCGGGGTCACAGGTTTGCTTCGCACCCGGCAGGATGGTAACGGAGCGTGCCAGGAAGGGGGGGAAAAAAAAAAAGAAATTATCCGCTGGGGAGCAGGGAAGCAGGGCCCGGTGCACTCGGCCACCCGTCCTTCCTGCCGCGGTTAATATTGGAGAGGTGGCGGGAGGGCGGCCAGCAAGCAGTAAATATTAATGACGGGTTATGGTGCAACCTCTGTCCAGGAATGCGTTACCCCACCGGTGGCGTTTTTGGTAAAAACCGATCTTGCTCCGGCAAGCCCTGCCGAGGGGCTGCGGCAGCACAGCAGAGAGTCTCACACGCACCCGGAGGTTAAATACAGATATATTTTTTTTTTTCTTCCTAGGAAAAAGCTCCTTTCTGGAGCAAAATCGAGGCTAGGGGAGCATGGGTCAGGTACCGAGCCAGGTGGATGTTACCGGAGGACAGAGGTCCTCACCCGGAAGAAAGGGAAGGAGCAATAAATACCTGGCTCTGGACCGTGACCCGAGCGGCAGGGGCTGGCAGGAGCCACAGGGAAACGGAGAGGAGGGAGGGGGAAGGAAGAGGTTAGAAACCGGGAGGTTTTCTGACCCTAAGAGATACTGACCCCCACGTACCTTTGTTTCTCCTCATTTCACACTCCCAATGAGACAAACAACCCTTGAAAACAGTTTATTCCGCGGCTGAACGCCAAAATTCAAGTGCCTGCCTAGAAGCCAGCCCTGCAGAGCAATGGGCTCCTTCGCACCCACCATCACCCCGTGCTCCCGGTCCGGCCGACCACACACACGGAGCAAAATGGGAGAGGTGCAGCTTAAACCCCAGCACAGGGAGGAGGAGAGGAAAGGCGCCGTCCTGGATGGAGTCGAGGGGCAGGCAGCAGGCAGGACAGGGCACAGCCTTGCTCTCCACTTACAACAGTCGCCAAAATATGGGGAGGTGGGGGACACACACACACACACGCGCGCGCGCGCGCACGGCTGCCCTCGGTCACAGATGCTTCCCCGAGCGAGCGCAGAGAGCGGCCAGGTCTCGGAGCGGCAGCCTCGCCGAGGGGCTCCTGTCCGCGGGGTCGCAGGACGAGACGACGGACTGCAGAGGGTGGCTGTAGGCTGAGCGGAAAGGGGACACAGAAGCAGCGTTAAGAGATGAGAGTTTCATTTACGGCCGAAACTGGGCTCGGCTTCAGCCTTTTACCATAAAGCAGAGAGAGAAGAACTGGTTTTTAAGATGAATCGACGTGCCTGTAGTTTTCCACATGCTTGTTTGCACGCTCGGCACGCTCCTGAGTACGAAGCGGTATGCGAGCCAAAGCAGGAAAGCCGACGATTTTTTTATAAAGCCCCAATTTCTCTATTTTTTTTTTTTTTTCCCCCCTAGAAGAGAACTCCCAGTTGCTCAGCCAGGTATTTTTCCAAGCCGTACTCGTGATCAGAGCCCTCTCCGTCACCTAACAAAGACAATTTCCGCCACCTTCTTGCATCCTCCCAACAGAAGATTCAGCGTTTAAGGCGAAGAGGTTTTCTGTGCCCGTAACGAGCCTGTTTTGCAGTGTTGTCCTCACGGTTCTCCCCCCCCCCCCAACACATATTACACAGAGGCTGGTGCTTTGCTAAGGATGCCACTAAGCTCCCCGAAGGGACAGAGGAAGAGGCTGGGTTCGAAACAAGCAGCAGAGCACCTGACTTGCCCTCTCTGGCGTATATTTGTAGGAACATCTCTACACAGCAGCCCAGGACCACGGAAACATCTAGCCCCGTTTGATTTCTCCCTGTATAATCGGGGATCCCGGCTCAGGCGCCTCCTCTCCAGAAGCAGGAGCTCCTACCTTTGTGGTTTTTGTAGAAGACACAGTTGTTGGCGCAGGTATCCGGGTGGGAGTCCCAGAAATCGGACCCGCAGGAGCAGAGCGGGGGCAAGTCAATGTTATACAGTTTTATCTTCTCCCTCATCTGGGCTCTCAGAGCTTCGACGTACCTGCAAGGGATAAAATATTCACCTTTGCCAGTAACACCCGGCTCTGTGCAAGGAGAGGGGATCCGTCCGTACCTCACGTACTCCTTATTTCGCTGCTGTTTTTCCTTAATCTCCTTCACTCCCCTCTCCTCCAGTTTAAGTCGGGCCAGGGTTTCACAGGCTCCCTCTCCCGGGGAGGGTTCTGGCCGGTCAGCCGTCTCCCGCATCCTCTGCTCCTCCACCCGGCGCTGGTTCTCCTTCTTGCTCTTAATCCTGCAGGCACACGCACAGCTTAGAGAAGGAGCTTCCCCATCCCAACCTCCATTCCCCGCCGGCCCCTGGCTGTAAGGTCAGGGCCGGGGGACCTCGATGCTGCCGCCGCCTGCTGCTTTAGCCCAAACTACCCACGGCAGGTGAAAAGTAACTCTGCACTAACTGCAGCACCGACTTTCTAACAGCTTTAAACATAAAACAGGCAAAAATGCCTTCCGAGCCCCCATTCTTTCCCCCGGATGGAAACGGCAGCCTATGAATGCTCTCCCGCCCTTGACCTCCTCCTGCCTGCTGGTTTTCTCACCGTCGTGGCCGTCTCCTTCCAGCTCCCTCCCGCGTCACCTTCACACGCGCTCCCGTTACGAAGTGCCACCTGCACCTCCCCAAAAGAGATGCTCTTCTGCCCTTCCGAAACCAAGAGCAGTGCCTGGGCTCTTTTAGATCCACCAGAAAGGACCAACGGCTCAGCTTCCCCTCTTCCGATTTCCTCTGATTGTGGGGCAGCTTGGACCCTACCCGTAAGCTGTCCTTGCAGCTTCCAGCACGGGGAGCATAACAGGGCTGTCAGAAGAGTGCTGGGTACAGCAAAGAAGCTCCAAGGATCCCACCACCTACTCCAAAACAGGCTTTAAGAGGCATTTTTAACCAAATCTTCCTCTATTTCCTCAATCTTCCTTGCACCTACACGGCACTCCAGCCCTTTCACTGGAATCTGGGTTGCGTAAGTCACACCAAACGCAGAGCACACGTTCCCTCGACAAGCGGCAATTACGAAGCACAAAGACTTTAAACTGAAGCATCTGCCATTTTATTCCCGCTGATGAGTACCAAATGCAATAACATGTTACAGGCTGATCACTGCCAAAAGGCATTTAAAAAAAAAAAAAAAAAAATCAAGGCTGGGCAGAAGCCAGGGGGAGAAAGCGTAATCGAACGAGACATTTCGGATGTTACTCCATTTGGGGGGTCAAATCTTTACATCGAGAAGGAAAAGTGCTGAAGCCAAACTTCTCTAGTCAAGTTATAAACTCCGAAATGTTTTTTAAATGAAGTGGTAATAGAGCCTTAACTACCCCACCATAAATCTTCCGCTACAGAAACTAAGGCTAAGGCCAACTTAAGGATTTACACTAAGTAATTACAAAACCAGCTCTTTTCCACATACGCCCCGAGCAGCTTTTGCAGCTCCAGCAGCGCCCCTGTAACTTGGGGGGGGAGGGAATAAAAAGATATCACACTAACTAGGAAGTCCTTGGTGTCTCACCAGCACTTGCAGGGCAAGAAAAGGTCTCCGAAGCTCCTGAGTGCCAATTTGAAAGTCAGGAATGCTGCTGGAGGAGCGTTTCTTTAAGCTGGCAATTTCTCTCCGTAAAGTGACCACGAAACTCCTGCCCTCGGGTGCCTGTGCTGCTCCCACAAAGCCTGCCCACTGCTGAGCCGGCGTTAGAGACCGAGATGGTCAGAGCTACATCGTTTTATTTTAGAGCAAGGCAGAGACACACACACAAAAAAAAAAAAATCTAGAGTGTCTCCCCTATTTTGGTGTGAATTTGCAGAGCTCCTCCTTAACGAACCCCTTGAAAGGGAGAAGATGACTAAGCCACCGAAACAAGTACTGATACTTTTACGCAGATACTGAGTTTTCAACTCCAGAACAAATGCTGAGAAATCTTTTTATTACACTATATATGTTTATAGCCATGAGGGTGAAGGGTCTGATATTAAAAACCCCAGAGATAAGATCAGTTTAACAACAACAACAGCGTGACCTCACCCCAAAGTTTCTAAACATGGACTGTAGCACAGGGTCTTGGGATCAGTTCCAGAGAGCCACGGTTTGGTGAGCTGCAACCCTCCCAGCCTGAGGTTTCGGGTCCCAACTCCTATCCAAGCTGCGCGGGGACTCAGAAAGTAGATAGAGAAGCACTGAGCACCTCTGAAGGACTCGACACGGCCCAAGGGTCTCTCTTGGGGGCTCGGTCGAATGACTCCCGCCCCAGGGTTAGCAGACCGGGCACCAAAAATAAACCCAGGGAGGTAAGTCAGGCTTTACAATCGGCATTCGTATTGCGGAGCTTCTTTCAACGTACTCCCCCATTTTTAAAAAGTTGGTAAAGTGGCCTTTTTAATCCATCAGGGGCAGCCCGTGGCCAAGGAGGCAGAACGCTACCCATCACGTGTTTTTATTTCGTACGAAGCTGGACGGTCTTCTCAAAGCCTCTGCATTTGGGCTGCAGAAGTGCTTTCCAAAATACCGTTGCCTGGTTCACACCGGACAGGCACACAAGACCTTTCCAGCCTGAAGAAGGGCCCTGCCTGTGACGGAGGAGGTGACACCAAGAGGCCGGCGCTCACCCGCACGTACTCACTCAGCGATTCTCTTCTGCCTCTCTTTCTGCCTCTGCTGTTCCTTCACTTGCTCTCGCTCGACATTCATGAAGAGGCGCCTGTATCTCAGGTACTCGTTCTGACGCTGCAGGGAAGAGGAGGCACCTTTGAGAAGGACGTCTGGGGGCAGGCTGGGATCGGTATCGAGCGATATCGGCACTCAGCTTGATTTCTGGAGCGCACGTCTATCAGGATAGAAACCTCGCTCCTTCCCCGAGAGATCCTCAAACATCTCCTTGTGCACATGCCCCAGGACCGAGAAGCCGGAGAGACGGTGGTTAGCTAGGAGAGGACCACCAAGACATCTTGGAGCATCCGAGGGCTTTGTACCAGCATCCCTTGACCGAACCTTCCTATGGATGGAAGCTCTGTCACCTGACAAATTCCTAAACTCTCATTTTCCTGGGGTTAAAAGAGCTGGTTCCCGCTTCAACCCACTTCACCAGAGCGCTACAAGCTACAGGCTGAGAATTTCGATCCACCTGGGGACTGGTGGTCCCCTGTGGTCCACCTGTGTCTGCCTGTATCTCCCAAAAAAGAAAAATAATAATGAACATACAACACCGAGCTGGACCCGCTACACGCAGGAGAACCACAGAGGTGGCAAAGTCATTGCTGAGACAAATCCAAGAGCCCTGCAGGGAACAACAACTCCCGTACGGGTACCGAGCACGTGAAGAGGTTTAAATGTCTGGGCCTCAGCTTAACCCCACGGATGCAGCAAGGGTAGGGAAACCTCCTGGCGAAAGCTCGCACCAAAAGCCCTCCCGCCCGCGTGGGAATCAGTCGGTACACAGCTAGTTTGAGCTCCACGATGCCAGAAAGTTTAAGGCGTGGATTTTTCGACACCAAGAGTTTTGGGCTGAGTTTGTCCATCCCGCCCAGCGGAGAGAGCCCCACGCAGCTGGAGCAGGAGAGATCGCCAGGCTGAAAGGAGAGAAAGCTGGATGAAAAAAAAAAACAAAACCACCCCCAGTTATCTCAGGGTGGATCAGAGCCAAGGAGATAAAAAGCAAGGGGCAGAGGGAACCGCTGAGGGAAGGAACAGCCTGACGGGCCCCAGCTGCTGTCACGCCGTCTAGAAACCACAACTGCATTTTGGACCAGCTTGTCGGAAAAAAGCGCACGTAAGGAACAACGGGGGGGAAAAAAAAAATCAATTCGTTCAAAGTCCTTTCGAGTTTTACGCTGTAAGCTGCAAGAAAGCCGACAGAAGGAGAGGGAAGCGTTCCTCTTCGCATCAGAAGGAAGCAGGAAAATAAAAGTCACTTCCTAAAGGCATCCAAGAGAAACTTCGTCTCTTCGCATCGCCCAGCTTAGCGTGAGCCAAACCGTCCCGGACGCCGGCTGGTAAGGCCTCGTCATTAAATCAGACACTCGGCGTCAGGCCTGCGGGCTGTGCTTGAAAGCTACCACCCCGCTGCCTGTTAGGCGCCGATACGGCAGAAACCTTCACGCTCCCAACCTTATACCCAAAGAAGATAAAGTGGGGTTTGTTCTTTTGGTTTTGGTGGTTTGGTTTTTTCTTTTTTGAAGCATTTTTGGCAGCTTCTCTCTCTCTCTCTCTCTCCACACAACTACAGAAAGCGACACCTTTGTTTTGCCAGGCAAAATGAAGGAAGCCCCTTTCTCCTCCAACCCTTCAGTGTTATTCAGATCCCAGATTTTGCGGGAGGAGCAGGTAACGGTTGCACTTGCGGTCACAATGGACCTTAAAAAAAAAAAGAACCCGGTAGGTTTGCCCGAGGCCTGAGACACCACCAACGCCGAGAAACTTATAAACCGAGCAGATGCTTCATGCATTAAGGCTGCTCTTGAGGCTTCTTATCCGGGCTAGCAGCATCCCCTACGCTCGATACCTTTCAGTCCTGAAACGGAGACGAAACAATGAGGACTTGGCTCCAGCGGACAAACCTGCTTCTTGGTTTCCTCTTGGTCTACGCCAGCCCAGAGTACGAGGGGAGCTTGGTAATCGGTGTGCAGCCTCTGGGGAGGCTCGGGCGAGCTCGAGTCCTTCACCGATGCGTCACAGAACTGGAAGGTAATGTAAGAGGGCAGCATCAGCATCTTCAGGGTCAAGTTTCTCATCTTCCCTCAGCAAAATACTCCTCTACGCGTGATCCCTACAGCCCTCAACGGGGCAACCCACCTACGAGCTGTGCTTCTTTTCGGGGTATGGGCTGGCTATAGACAGGAGAGACACGTGCGGCACCTCCACGCAGGAGCCTGAGCACCAAAGCTTTGTCAAAACACTTCTAAAGATACCCTTGGAGGAGGTTTCTGGTTTAGTCTAAATATGGATTCACACCTCGCCTCCCCAGATTTTCATTCTGACCTTTGTGAAGTGCAAGAAAAATAACAATACTACAAATAACAAAAGTGTCAGGGGAATTCAACAGCCAACGTCTCCGAAAACCTCGGCGTAAACCTCCGCCTTCTTCCCTCCGCTCAATATTTGCCAAGCCAGTATTTCTGCTTCTAGCTGGACTAATCACCAGCTAAGGTTGGGCACACACTGCTATAGCCATAAAGTATTTGCTAACTACTCCGGGTAATCAGGGCACGGCCATTTCCACATCTCAGATGCGTAATGAAAGTCTGCCTGAAGACAAAAGAGGAATCGATAAATACATAAATACGTTAGCTCAGCCCTTCACGAGCAGACACATTCACGCTGCCTCCAAGGGAGGCGTTTCGCCAGCCCCAGGGCACAGGAATCTGTCACAGCCAGCTCATTCCTCTGATGCAAAGCTGCTTTTCCCCCCCACGCCACCACCCCTTTTCTAGGAGGTTTCCGGCCGATTTGATGCACCACCCGCACCTCTTCCACCCCGCTGCTGCCTCCGAGCAGGGCAGCCGGACCAGAGGCAGCTGCAGGTCCTGCCAGCCGCAGTCTGGAGTTCGGTTAAGCGTACGACGCGATTGCACGCTCAGTTTCAGATTTCCGCTGAGCGCCAGCCAACTGGCATCACGAGGCAGGCACAAACAAAACCCCTTTTGAAGGCACAGCTGTAAGATGAAAGCAGGGAAAACAGGAGCCGCCAATCTCACTTAGCTCTGACACCGCTCTCGAGCCTGTTTTGACGACAGTAGGCTTAAGAGTTAACCAGGCCTGAGGCAGCAACTGCTCTACTACAACAGCAGCCTCGCTGTCTCTGCCGAAATAAACCCAAATCCCAACGATTCAAACCTCTTAAGACCAACTGGCCCGGCCCCGTACGAGCCTTACTTTTTCAAATTCGATTTTGATGTAGAAGTCATCGTCTTGCTCAGCTTGATGCGGGGCTGCCCCCTGGTCCTGCAGTTCAGCTGGAAGATCATGGTGTCCTGCTAGAAGCAGCTCCTCACTCTCATCTCCTGCGGGCACCGCGGCTGCCTTGCAAGACTCCGGTTTCTGGAGGAGAGGGGTGTAAATATGAAATTCAAATGTATCTCCTTCGGTGCTGAGGGCAAATTCAACATCCTCGTGCGCAGGTTAGAAGCAGCTTTAACCCGAGGGCGCTTGTTCTGCAGAGTCAGTTGAGATCTGGCGAGCAGCAACACAATGTGTTCAAGCATCACCGCAGGGCACGAGAGCCAGAAAATCTGAATTTAGCAGGGTAACTCGTGACTACGTTCTCACCAACTGCGGAAACAGAGGGACAGACGTGCGTGGGGCGAAGGAAAGGCAAGGAAAAGACCTCTCCAGGCGGCGTTTCGCAACTGCAAGGAGTTGGGGGGTGGTGGGATCTCTGGAGTGACACTCGAGTACGTAGCGTACTCCTTCAGATGGTAAGTGGGCAGGCTCCCCGGTGGCAATTAACAATATTTTGAGATGCAGCAGATTGTTTCCTACAAACTAAAAAATCAAAATGCCAGAAGCAAGCTCGGAGCCAGGATTTTTTTTCCCCACCTCTCGCTGTCCCTTCAGCACGCTAGGGAGGGAAGAGTAGGACTGCAGATCAACAGGAGGAGAAGCAGGTCACGCCAGGGATCCCTTGAGATGGCTCTGCTGCAATACAGGAAGGACGGAGGATAGCCTGGAGTTAGTCTGAACATGAGGTTATTTGACAGGCATATAGGAATTACTCTATCCACCCTGTTATGACAGAAACACAACACCGAAGTGCTGCTTTGGTGAGGACAAGGGAATAGAGAGGAACGGTTATTGCTTTGTAAGGATGCTCTGAAGCCCTGAAGGTAGAAGGAAATGAAAACTGTGGAAAAAAAAAACCAACTTTGGGGAATGATCAGCGGGGGGAAAGAATTTGGGTGCTGTCACGCTGGGGGGGACCTACAGCAGTACCAAACCCTAAAGCAAAGCGGTTGAAGACTTGGTGAACAGGATCACCTGAAACACAGGACAGATCACCTCCACGCAATTACCATCTAGGTATCTGCTTGGGAAAGCAGGGAAGAAGCTCTTTGAATGTTTTTGACCTGAAAAGAAATCTCTGGGAGAGAGGAAGAGCAACGATTTTGGGAACACGGATTACTGGTCGCAGGGAATGCAACTCTTTAGAGGGAAGAAGGGGGGGGGGTGTGAAGAAAAATGAAGAAAACAGGACTGAAGGAGAAGCAACAGTTCCTTTAAACTGGGCAAATGCAAACCACTCATCTGGAGTGGAAAGACAGGCGGCGCGGTGCGAGACAACCCTGGCTAAGCCCCAAGCTCTCCTTGGGCCCGCGATCCGTGCGAGCCCAGAGGAAGCGGCGCACGGGTCAGGTTACTGAAGGAATCACGCAGGAGACGACACAAGCACGCGGGGACAAAAAAAAAAATAAAGCAAGTGCCAGAAAGGCCAAAGCTCTAAGTAAAACAAGATCAGGGTAACAAGTCAGGCTTTAGTAAGAGAGACTAAAGGACTCGCTACTCAAGAAGGACAGCTATCGGAGGACAGCAAGAACAACAGTGTTTTATGCTTCTGGGCAGCGGCGTCCAGCCAAAGGCTTGCTCTGAGCTAACAGCAGCAGCAAGAAAAATCTTGGATTGTTATTGGGAAGAAAACGTCAGATTATTCCTAGAAGCTGAAGTTTTTAAGCAGGGGGGATGTGCCCTGGGTTACGGCCAGGAGTGGCAGACAAGCTAACAGCAGGCGTGTGTTTCCCCCGTCCGTCGTCCCCCCCCCCGAAATCCGTGGAGGTCCAGATTATCAGAACAGGGCACAAGGAGGGTCTATCTTTAAATAAAGGAGGGGAAAAGGAAATACTAAAGAGATGTTAGTCTCAAGAGTTTAACTGCCTGACTTTTTTGGGGAAAAAAAACCCAAACCCCAAGAGGAAATCACCTTGCAAACTGCCCGTAAGCTGCTAGAAAACAAGACAAACAGCAACCGGCATAAATTTGTCAAGAGCAAGTCACGTCTAGCTGGTTTGAATTTCTCCTGCCATAGAAGAAAGAGGCCTCAGGCCAAGCGCAGCAGAAGACATCTCGATTTTAGCTTAGCTTTTGACACGGCCTAATTCAACACTTGTGTAAAGAAATATCTGTCAGATGAAACTATTACAGCGGAGGTGCAGTACTGATTAAAACCACTGCCCAGATTCAGCCTCACGAGTTCACTGCACAAAACCAGAGTAAGAACTAGGTGGGCTCTGCTTGATAATTTCGTTATCGGCCTGGATGATGGAAGAAAGAAGCACCTTGATTACATTTACCGACCCCACCAAGCCACTTGGAAGTCGCAGAAGTATTTGAGAACAGGCTAAGAGTGCTTGGGTTCAAACCACAGAAATCAGCTGGGATAGAGAGCACAAGCAAATTCAAAAGCAAAGGTCAAGGCAGTGCACTACGGCAGCAATTACCAGGGTGGTTAAGTCCACAGCAGACTTTTGCATCTGAAGAGAAGGGAATAAACTGCTGTCCTGCCTAGCTGTGAACATGGCAAACCTTTACACAGGGAGAAAGAGTCAGATTAATATTAGAGCTTTTTTTTCTCTACTATCTTGGAGTAATAAAACAGAGTAATGCAATAAATCAATAAATTCCTCCCAGAATAAATTGCCTAGGGAAGCTGTTAAATCCTCCTCGCCAGAGGTTTGAAGAGAGCGCAGATTAACTGTAGCTGCAGTAAGGTTCAGGTGGGAGGATGGCCCAGGATCCCTCCCACCCCTGTTTCTCACTGCTGCGGACGACTCGCCACGGGACTCCCACGCATCCCGCTTGCTATCTTCTGTAACCCTCTGGCTTGCATGGGCAGCGACCGTATTATTCACGCGAGGCTTTAGTGCCGCTAATAGCCAAGTAATGAATCACTCCATCTTGCTGAGCAGTCTGAATGCACTGAGGACTTAAACAGAAGGCATCTGAAACAGATAAGAGGTTTTCGAGTCCATAATGATACTGGTTCTGTAACTCTTGTTCACAAAGCTGACTTCCTTGAACAGAAATCCAACAGTACACAGGGGAGGAAGAGCCAGACCAACCCTTATGTAAAAGGTATTTTCTAGATAACAGCCAGCCAAGATCTGCTTCACCTTTGATGAACTCAAGAAAGAGATGGGAATGAAGAATTGCAAGACGGGCAAGAAACCGGCTCCGGAGGAGGCAGTAAGACAAAATACCAGGTTGGGTTGCTGCTGGTGTTCTCCAGGATGGACAAAGTATGTCAGTTCAGGAGAGGTCTCGGCATAGAAAGCAGGATAATAGCTGTGACGCAAAGCTGCTCTTGAGAACCGGAGTGACAAAAGCAGGACGAAATTCAACAGAGCAAAAGGTGAGGCACTCGGGACTGACCTCCTTACGTGGCTCCCATGCGCTGCTTCGAGGAAAGCGGCTGCATGCCAACAATTCTCTACCAGAAGCCAGCCCTGGGTGAAGAAAACCCTCCAGATCTCTGCCACCCACATGAAACAAGGGATTGATGCAAGGGAAAGAGCTGTTGAGGTTTGTTGAAGAAATAAAGGCACCTAAGGGGAGGGCTGATAATCACATTCCTCCCAGATACCCAGATCCCAGATCACAATCTCAGCCTTTAAAAAAAAAAAAAAAAAAAAAAAAAAAAAAAAAAAAAAAAAAAAAAAAAAAAAAAAAAAAAAAAAAAAAAAAAAAAAAAAAAAAAAAAAAAAAAAAAAAAAAAAAAAAAAAAAAAAAAAAAAAAAAAAAAAAAAAAAAAAAAAAAAAAAAAAAAAAAAAAAAAAAAAAAAAAAAAAAAAAAAAATCTTTTCTGAATTCTTGTTTTCTAGTTTCTCTCTCGTTAATCTCTGCAAACAGAGACGTTTTCACCCACTTTATCTTGCTGCCCTCTCTGAAAGGCAGCAAGAACAGAGGGACAGAGCCCTCGGGCCACCGAAATCCATCAGGTGGGTCACGAAAGCCCAGTTTGTTTCACTTCTGCCGGAGAAACTCACTGAACTATGCTTTGGATTTGCTAATTAGAGCCAGACCTTCAACAGTTTGCAAGGCAATTCCTCTCACCCTACCCTAGGCAATCCTCGCTCACCTCTTGCCTCCAGACGCCGCCGGGGAGTTCGGGGGGACCCGCTCCTTGGGGCATGGTTTTGCAGGACGCCAGCCTGCGCCGAACTTGCTTCATGGTTTTGCTAAGCTGCCGTTAAGAGGGAAGGTAAAGACAAGACAAAACAAGAGGTCACTAGCTGCTTGCCGTGAGGGCTACGCCAAGAAGCTTAGCGGCACAGAAGAAATCTCCTAAGGTACCCCCTGCTCCAACCAAGGTGCTTTGTCAAGGGAGCGCAACAAAACACACAATTAGCTTCACAAACAGGTATAAGGTAACCTGCAACCCAAGGTGTCTTTCAGAGCTGCCCCAACGCCCCGAAATCCTGATCCAGGCACGGCAAAGGACTCAGTTACAGCTCATCCGCTCCCAAATCGCTTTGCTGAGGTGCCAGAAGTGCCAGATCCCCGATTGTCCTGTCCGGCGTCCAGCCAGAAGTGATTCTCCACCCCAAGGGAAGCGGTGCTTCAGCCGGAATAACTCCAGCGCCCAGGCGAACACACGCGCTTCAGAAAATGCCAAAAGCAGCACAAGCATCGCTATTTAAAAAAAAGCAAAAGCTCGAAACGGTCCCTAAGGCAGGTTTTCCAAGATTTCGGGATCCCACGCTCCTGGTCTGCAGGAGACAAGCTGCAAGGAGGTGGCACCACCTAGTGCCACCTCTCCGACACGACACGCCTGCACAGCAACAAGTCCCTGGGCGCAGAGGGAAAATTCACTGTATCTACAAGCAGCAGGGCAAGTACAACCACAGCATCCCCCAAGACGACACTTACTGTCAGTTTTGAGGCTCCGATAAGAGCTATGGAGGAGTACAACAATACGCAGCAAACCAGAGTGAAAACGTAAGTCAATGTTTTACTCAGTACAAAAAAAAAAATAATCAAATCAGGGATGTGTTGTAAAAGAGGGTAGAAAGGTAAATATTGCCCGTCCTCCATTTCAAACCACGAGCAACCAGCATGGCGAAGCAGGGATGAAAAACGCAGGAGGGGAACCGCTCACCTTGGCGGCTTGCTGCTGGAAGGGCTCGCTTTGCACCCCTTGCCGCTGTGCCGGGACGGCGCGAGCGCGGGGACCGCAGATGGCGGGCGCGGGATGGCTCCGAAACAGGCACGTGTTCTTCCTGGGGGTCAAGTGCAGCGCGGAGTCCAAGTACTGAACGGCGATGCAGCTCTCCCTCTCTGCCTGCCGGGACACAGACCCTCAAGTTAAAAAGCCACGTGCAAATCTCTAACCGTCACCCGGCAGGACATCACCCGTGCCGCGCGGGAGTTGCTGGCTCAATTTGGCGGCATTTCTTGGGGTGGACGTTTCTGCTCTCCGTGCTGAGAGGGGCACAAAGAGCCATCAGGCTCGCGGGGGCCGAAGGCATCCGACGGCTTTCAGTTTGGAGCAGTGCTAGCAGAGTTACGTGAGGACATCCCCACTCAACCGTGCCTCCCGAGCCCTGGAAAGAGCCCAAACACCCCAGGGGTGGCCAAACTCGTGGCCATTTCAGTGCGTTCCCTTCTCGCTCCACAGTCGGTTTCTGGCAAGTCTTCCTGGCAGTTTGTTTAAAAGTAGAAAGGATTAAATATATTCCCAGGATAAGCTAAAACAAGCCCACGGGGGAAACGGGAACGTGGAGACAGCGTGAAAGTGTTGCTTGCGAACTATTTGGCTGCCCTGGAAAAAGGATAGCAGAAGTGAGCTGCTTTGTTTAAAACTCGACGAGGAGACATCCACATCATTCACAACTCCGGCCTGGCTATTTTTTAAACTCCATTCAATCCCGCACGGGGCAGCAGGACTCCGTTCTTCTGCCGCCCGAGAGAGCCAGCGACCTTTCCGCAGGGAGGCAAAGGGCTTAAAGCACCTTCAGCGCCAGAGCGAGCCGAGGCGTCACGCTGACCTCGCTTGAGGGGACGCCGTTTGCGGCCACGGGGTCTGCCGTGGCCACGCGTTTCCTTGTTTTTTCTTATTAACACCTTGACTTGAGGTCTAGCAGGCTTTTTTCCTCCCCCCCCGATTTACACTGGTTTCAGGAGTTTCTCCTGCAAGACTGCTGGCGAGGCAGGGACAGAGATCCGCTTACCGCTTCGTAGGACTTCTGCAGCTGCTGCTTTCTTCGCATCCTGACCTGCTGGTTCACCCGCTGCTTCACCTCTCCCTGGAAACGCCTCAGGCTGGCTGCCTTCTCCCGTTGCTGCTCCTTCAGCTCCTCCTCCACCTGAAACGCCGAAGCCTGCAAGAGGTGAAAGGAGATTTTACGGGGGTTTTGCTACGTCGCAGCATTACAGCAGCTTGCATTCCATCTTCCCTTCCCACACCGGCACCTACGAGCCAGGCAAGCAGCGCCCAGAGCACACTTCACGATGTTTCATTTCCAAATCTGTGCATTAACAGCTTGGACAACGTCTATGGAATGATTTTGCGCTTGGATTGGATCTAGCTAGCCGGACACGGAGCACGCACACCTCCTCCTTTAACTCTCTGCAACGCACACGGAAAGAAAGAAGAAGGCGGCCTCATACAGCAACTCCTAGCTCCTGCTCCCACAAAAGGATGCTCAAATACTCAAAGTCCGGATCCGAGAGGAACGGGCCCGGCCTCCGATCCCATTAACGCTCCGCAAGAGCAAGGCTGGAAGCATACCCGGGAAGCAGTTTGCAGAGCACGGGCAGGGCTACGGCTCCGAAAATGTTTTTACCATCTGAAGTAAAAGATTAAAAGCAATGACCTAAAAAAAAAAAAAGTCTTTTTTGGGTTTTTTTTGGTTTTCTTTTTAAGGTTCTCACTGGAAGTCATGCCAAGCAATTCTGCCGATACTACCACGGTTTAAGGAAAACCGGCATCGCTCTCCTGGCCGTCACCGCAGCACGGCCTAAAGCAAGAAAAATCGGTGACGGGAGGGAGGAAAGGGGCAAGTCTGAAAATCAACTTAGTAAACGCCGGGTCGGATGCTCCCTACATCCCGCTGACTGCCGGGAACGTTACCAGCAGCAAAGCAAGGTCAGCACAGCCGAACAAAGCGCGAAGATGGGGAGAAACCTGCACTGTTAACGACGAGACCAGGCCAGAGCTACACGAAACGGCGCCGTCGGCAGCTTGCTACGCTCCCCGTTGGCAACCTCATTAGCAATTCCGATGCAGGAGGCATTAATATATATTCTTTAATACGATCCGCTGGCGCGTAGAAGCGTATTAAACAAGCTCCGATAACCCCGTGCACCTTCATCCGCACCTGAAAGCCCCCACACCGAGGGAGGACCGGGAGTGCCCAGGCAGGAGGGGTGGCCGGCCCCCCCCCCCCCCCCCCCCGAAGCAGTCGGGAGGAGTTCGCTCCCCCAGAAGTTTCGCGGTGCCGAGGTGGAAGTTATGTGGAATACGGAGATGATTCATTTCCATATATTATCTCAACCTTTCAGGATTTAAATTACAATATGGAAATAAATCATCTCAGAAGGGCAGGAGCTTCTGTAACGTTTAGACATTAATTACAGGGGACTGAACTCATCATCCTATATTTAACGCACTTTTAGTCCCCTTATAATAACCCTCAAAGCAGAAATCCCTGAGATAAGCATCGATAAAGATTTCTTAAGTGTTTTAATGGGGTACAGCGGAGATCGGCTCCAGACCCTGAAACGTTCAACTTTAGTCCCCTTATAATAACCCTCAAAGCAGAAATCCCTGAGATAAGCATCGATAAAGATTTCTTAAGTGTTTTAATGGGGTACAGCGGAGATCGGCTCCAGACCCTGAAACGTTCAACTTACTGTTCTTTTTTTAAAAAAAAAAAAATCAGCAACATGGAATAAAATCTCCGCTC